GGGATCCTCCGGCGCCGCCCCGGGGCCATCTCGGGGGCCTCTTGGGAGCGTTCGAACGCGCGCGCTCCGTGCAGGCGCGGTGGCGGCTATGTCGGAGGCTGCATGCGCGGGCGCGCGCGCAGGGTTGCATCGCCGCCGCAATTTCTGCGCAGCTCGATGGGGGGCTGCGACCTGATCCTGCTGCGCGAGGACGACGCAGAGTATACAGAACGGCAGGGCAAGGAGCTCGCGGCCAGAGACAGGGAGCGCTTGCGCCGCAAGGGAGAGGAGGCACGCAAGGCACGCGTGGCGCAGGCTCGCGGCATCTCTTCCTTGCACCCGCGGAGAGGCGACGGCGTCGCAGCACGAGCAGTTGCGCGCGCGCGCGAACATTCCAGTCCAGGAAGTTGAATTCGTCAGGACGGCCAGAACAGAAGAAGGACGCAGAACGGTCCAGGAAGTGGAAGCAGGATAAGCGGCAGCAGAGTGGGTGTTCTGGCCTTCCACGGGCGATGAAGCGCCGAAGCATCTCTGCGGTGGCTGCAAGGGATGCAAAAGTCGCTAGACTCCTGGCTGAGGCCCATGCTGGCCACGCAGTCTCGGGCGCCTCGCAGACCGAGCCTGCGACGAAGCCCCCGCGGCCTGAGCTCTCAGCGGCCAACGGACTTCAGAAGAAGGAACCCGCGCAGACGGCCCAGGAGCGCAAGGCCGCGTGGAAGATGAAGCAGCCGCCGAACGAGAAGAAAAGGGCGATGACCGCGAAGGAGCGCAAGGAGGCGTGGAAGTCGAGGCAGCCACCGAAGCAGAAGAAACAAGCGATGACCGCCAGTGAGCGCATGTCCGCGTGGCAGGCGAAGCAGGACGCTCAGAAGAAGGAGTCTTGAGCTAAACGGCCGCGGGTAGCCGCAGCCATCTGACGGGAACGTAAACCTGGCGGGGCATTCCAAGGCAGTGCTACAGTTGTACTCTACTGCCTCCTGACATGCACTGTTGCTGGCCTGAGCCGTACATGTTTGAAAACAGGTAGCAACTTGATGTCGCTCCCTCGTTTCGGCTCGGCCGGCCCGCCGTCGTCGTCGTCGTCCCCGGCTCGGCCGGCCCGCCTCATTTCTGCTCCCGAATCGTTCCGAATCGTGCTCCCGCTGCAGCGTGGGCCTCATTTTCGGATCGGTGTTTGGCCTCCGTCGTTCAGGATGGCGTTCTCGCCCCAGCGCGGGCCTCTTTCTCGCGCGCCCATCCGCCCGCCACCACCGCGCCGCACCACCACCACCACCACCACCACCACCACCACCACCACCACCACCCACCACCACCACCACCACCACCACCACCACCACACAACCACGCACACACGCACGCACGCACGCACGCGCACCACCACCCACTACGCACGCGCGCGCGGAGCCACAGGTCCGCTACGACACGCGTCCGCGGATAGGGAAAATCAGCGCCATGGTAAGGGATGGGAGGGAGGGGTAGGCCGTCAGATATGACGCGAGCGCACCTAGTTTGGCCCCCCCCCCTCCCCCAAACCAGCCCCCCCGGGCCAGCGCCGACGCTGGCGGCGGCCAGCAGCGCCGACGGCGGGAACGCAGCGACGATGACCAGAGAGGGCCCAAAGGCCGCAGAAGGGACACACAAATCGCCATATACACCACCACAGCAACCAACACCACCACCACCAACCACCACACCACCAGCACAACCACCACCACCACCACCGCCACACCAACCACCATAACCAATCACCACACCACCACCACCACAACCACCGCCACAACCACGACCACCGCCACCACCACCACAGCCCACCACCGCCACCACCACCACCAAACCCAAAGCCAAAACACGGAGGCGGGAAGACCTGAAGGCCTCACCACCACCACCACAAACCACCACACCACCACCACCCACCGCCACCACCACCGCCACCACCCAAACCAGCACAACCCACCACCACCACAACAACCACCATCACCACAAACCACTACACAACCAACACCACCACCACACCTCACCACCACCACCACAAACCACGCCACCACCACCACCACAGCCACCACCACAACCACCACCACCACACCCACAACAACACACCACCACTACCACCACCACAATCGACCACATCACCACCACCACCACCACCAGAACAACCTGCCACCACCACCACCACCACCACAAACCACCACTAACCACCACCACCACCGCCACCACCACCACCAGCACCACCGCCACAACCAGCCGCCACCACCACCGCCAACACCACCACCACCACCACAAACCACCACACCACCACCACCACCACCACCGCCACAACCACCACCATAACCAACCACCACACCACCACCATCACCGCCACAACCACGACCACCGCCACCACCACCGCAGCCCACCACCCTCACCACCACCACCAAACCCAAAGCCAAAACACGGAGGCGGGAAGACCCGAAGGCCTCACCACCACCACCACCACAAGCCACCACACCACCACCACCGCCGCCACCACCGCCACCACCACAACCAGCACAACCCACCACCACCACAACAAACCACTACACAACCACCACCACCACCACCCACCACCACCACCATTACCACAACCCACCACAACCCACCACAACCCACCACAACCACCACGACCACCACGACCGCGACCACCACCACCAGAAACCACCACAACATTACCACAACCATCACCACCACCAGCGCCATCACCGTCATCACCACCGACACAACTCACCACGATCACCATCACCACAAACCACCACACACCACAACCACCACACCCACCACCACCACTCACCACACACCACCACCACCAGCACCACCACCACCAGCACCACCACAACCAATATCGCAGCCCACCACCACCACCGCCATAAACCACCACCACCACAAACCACCACGCTTCCATCACCACCACCACAAACCACAACTACCACCACCAACACCACCACACCTCGCCACCACCACCACCACCACAAACCACCACGCCACCACCACCACCACAGCCACCACCACAACCACCACAAAAACACACCACCACCACCACCACCACCACACCCACAACAACACACCACCACTACCACCACCACAATCTACCAAGTCACCACTACCGCCACAACCACCACCAGAACAACCTGCCACCACCACCACCACCACAAACCACCACTAACCACCACCACCGCCACCGCCACCACCAGCACCACCTCCACAACCAGCCGCCACCCTCACCGTCAACACCACCACCATCACGAACCACCACATCACAACCACCACCGCCACCACCGCCACAACCACCACCACCAGAACCCACCACCACCACCAAAAACCACCACACCACCACCACCACAACCGCCACCACCAACAGAATCAGCACAACCCACCACAACCACAAACACCAACATCACCACAAACCACTACACCACAATTACCACCAACACCAAAAAAGCCACCACCACCACCACCACAGCCCATCACAACCCACCCCAACCACCACGTCCACTATCACCACCTCAAGCCACCACACCACTACCACCACCATCACCACCACCGCCACCACCACCACCACAACTATCCACCACCACCACCACCATCACCGCAAACCACCACACTACCGCGACCCACAACCCAGCACACCACCAGCCCACAACCACCACCACCATCTCAGAAAGGCCCCAAGAGACCTCCAAGAGGCGCCCAGGAGGCTTCACAAACTCCCCTCAGAGGCCCCCGAGAGCCCTCCGACGAGATCCCAAGAGGCATCCATTAGGACTCTGACCCAAATCCAAGGCACGGTGGTGGAGCGTCGTCGTCGTCGTCGTCATCGTTGTCGCCGTAATCCTCATCGACGCTCCCCGCGGCCGCCGCCAGCCGCCGCAAGCGCCGGCGCCAGCTCGTCTGCATCGACGCTCCCCGCCGCCGCCGCCGCCAGTCGCCGCCGACGCCAGCGCTGGCCCGAGGAGAGGGAGAGAGGATAGGGGGCCACATGCGAACCCTACCCCTACCCCCCACGATTTCTGAGGGGGAGGGTGGGGTTCACTTCATTCGGGAGCGCCCGAGCGAAGTGAACCCCACCCTCCCGCTCAGAAATCGTGGGGGGTAGGGGTAGGGTTCGCATGTGGCCCCCTAGAAGAGAAGTAAGGGGGGTGGTTGCAATTCCCCCTCCCCTCCATCACGGGAGGGGGCGGGGGGGGGTCCGGTTCGGCACACACACACACACCCCTCCAAGCGCCCACAGAACGCGCCCTTGATGTAATATCGATGATGAATCTTGGGTTGCTCCTCCTCCTCCTCCTCCTCCTCCTCCTCCTCCTCCTACTCGAGGAGGGAAGAGGAGTGTGTGAGAGAGGAGCACGAGGGAAAGAGGGGTGATGAATAGGACCTAGCGTTGCACGGAGAGGACGCGGAGACTTGGGGGAGGTAAACCGGCGGAGGATGAGGAGGAGGTCGACGAAGAGGAGAGATACGAGGGAGCCAACTATTCAACTATACCAATCCTTGCAACGCTCAAACTAGGAACAGGATCGGAGTATACACCCTCCTGGCTGTGGCAGGAAGGCATACGCACACCCAAGATCGGCCTGGCCAGGATCGGTGTAGGTATTTGTGCAATTGGTGTCTTCCGAAGAAGGCGCTGCCATAGGGGAACAAACACTGACATATACATAACAACTCTGAGGTCCGCGCGGATTTCTCGGATTGGCGCTGGACCCCCTCCCTGGCGCGCGGACCGCGCCAGGGGCGGCGCCGAAGGCGCCGCGAGGGGGCCCCAGCGCCGAGCCGAGCAACCTGCTCGATTTTCCGTTCTGTTATGCTGATGTGCTTTTTTGTTCCCCGCTGCCTAGCTTAGGTCGGGTCTGTCCCCCTACAGGGGCATTTTGGACGAAAAATTAAAGTACTCAAAAAATCCTCAAAGGATGCCCAAAAATACTCAAAAAATCGTCCACTGCCTATTCTTTGACCATTTCTGCATATTCCTCCTGTAGAGGGACACGCCCGACTTCATGCCGACGGGTCGCCTCCCGTGTCGCTGCTGATCCGCTGGAGGGCCGCGGGGAACGACGTTGGCCAGCCCAGGTACACGGAGTGCACCACCACGCCCAGCCGCACGGCCGCGGCGCGCTGCTCCTCGGCCTCCGCGTCCCCGTGGGTGGGGACGCCGTCGGTGATCAGCAGCACGTGCCGCTGGGGTGCGTCCCGGCTGCTGGCCCTCGAGAGCGGATCGCGCTCGAACTCGAAGAGCACGTCGGCGAGAGGTCGCTCGTAGTTGGTCCAGCCGCTGCAGCGCAGGTTCATGGCTAGGTCCGAGAGGGGCCCGTAGTCGTAGCTGAAGAAGGCGCCGCCGTCGCCGTAGTAGCGGCGGGAGCGGTGGTTGAACTCGACGTAGCCGAACTTCATGTGCCGGTGCCGCGCCTCTAAAGGGGCCCAAGGGCACACACATTGAACAGACACACATCCCAGGATCCCTGCTACTTTCCCATGCTTTGCGGGCGTTCGTCCTCCCCCCCACTCCCGGCATCTTCCTGGAAGCCAGCGCCTCATTGTGTCCGTGTGCATTTTCCCCTCCCGAGCCTCCTCCAGCAGGCCCAGCGTGACGCGCGCGCACCACGTAGCGTGCACGCCCGCCATGCTCATGGAGACGTCCCGGCACACCGCCACCAGCCCGCCGCGGTCCCGCCGCATCCGCTGCCGCGCGCGCGGCCAGGCCGCCGGCGACGGGTTGCCCGCCCAGCGGTGGAGCTCGGCGGCGTCCAGGTCGGAGAGCTCGCCCGCGTCGCGCGGGTCCCAGGAGCGCCACCGCCTCGGGGAGCCGCCGGGGTGCTCCGCGAGCTGCGAGCGGCCCCGGTCGATAACCCCGGCCACCTTCGCCAGCAGCAGGTCGATGTTCCTGACGCTCAGCTCGTCGACGTCGAGCGCCTTCATGTTGGCCTCCACGGCGTCCTCGTCGGGCGCCTCCAGGCCCGCGGCGTTGAGCACGTCGTCCCCGCTGGCCTTGGTGCCGCCCGCGGCGCGGGGGCCCTGCCCCGACAGCCCCTTGGAGCTGGAGTCGTCGTCCTTGTCCGCGGACGCCTCTGGCTCCCCCTCCAGCGCGCCTTCGGCAGCCTGCTGCTGCTGCTGAGCCTGCAGGCGGACGCCCACTGCTCACCTGCATCGACCTTGGCCAGGCCCATCACGGACCTAGAATCGGGGTGTACGTCCTCTCGGCTTGGGCAGGAAGGCCAAAGATCGGCCTGGCCAGGACCGGTGTCGGTGTATAGATCGTTGGTGCAATCCGAGCCTGCGCCCCGTCGTGCTGCTCCGCGCCCTCGAGCGGAGGCGCCGCCTCTTGGCGGGGTTCCTCTGGCCTGCCGTCCCTCATCGATGGCGCGTCCTCCAGGCCAGCCTCCCTCTCCTCCCCTGCCTGCTCGGCGTCGGCGTCCTGCTTCGCGCGGAAGTCGGGGCTCTCCTCGGCCGCCTCCTCGGACGCGGCCGCGACGAGGCCCTGGAGGATGTCCTCGATGCGGCCGTGCACCTCGGGGGGCACCCGGAAGGCAGTGAGGAAGCGCAGGACCAGGAGGTCCTCTGCCTCGCAGGCGGCCCTGCCCGCGGCCGCGGCACCCGCGCGCATCAGGCGCAGCGCCTTGATCAGGAACGTGCGGTCGGAGAGCAGCGCCGGCGCGGCCGGGGCCTGGCCAGGCACCGCGCGCAGGCAGAGGGAGCGCAGCTGCTGCACCGCCAGCAGGAGCAGGCCCTGCACCTGCGGGGGCACCCGCACGCGCTCCGCGGCGCCCGCGGCCCCCGCCAGCTGGGCTGCGGCGTGCGGCCTCGCCGCGGCGGCGCTGCGGCGGCGCGCCGCGCGACCGCTGACCCGCCCGGCCTCGCGCCAGCGGCGCCTCAGCGCCACGCCGCGGAGTCGGACCTGCAGCGCGAAGCGGTCCAGAAGCGAGGGGTCCGGCGCCTCTGTGTGGTGGGCGGCGCCGGGCGGCGAGGCCTCGCTGTCGTCCAGCCAGCTGGCCGTGGCGACGGCCGTGTGGAGCGGAAGGCGCGGCCCCGCAGCCTGCCCGACTGCCCGGCCGCTGCCCAGCGCCCGCAGGAGCGCCGACAGGGCCTCGCCGGGAGCGCGCGTGACGTCGTCGAGCACGCACACGTCAGCGCCGAGAACGCCGCCTGCCTGCGCCTCGTGCCTGATCGCCTCGCCTCCGCCTGACAGCGGCTCGCGCCGCAGCACGCCCCCGCTCGACGTCAGTTCCTCAGCGCGCGTGTCTCGGTGGAGCTGCACGGTGAGGGGCGCGGCGCCCGCGGCTCGTGCCAGCTCCTCCGCGAGCAGCGTCTTCGCGACACCGGGGGGGCCCTCCAGGAGCACGTGCTCCCTGGCGAGCACCGCCAACACCAGCGCCTCCTTGGCCTCCCCGTGGCCGGCCACGCGCTCGTCCAGGCTCCGCCGCAGCCGCTGGGCAAACCTTGAGGCAGCCGCCGCCGCCGCCTCTGGGCCGCCTGCTTCGCCGGGGGCCTCCATGGGGAAACCAAAAGGTTACCGTCAGGGGGACGTAAGACCTGGGTACAGGGGACTCGGAAATCCCGACGAGGTCGTCAAAAAAATGACGAGGCCGAGCCTGCATTTTGACGAGGCCTCCCGCTGCAGACATCCCACGAAACTCCTCCTCGTCAAAATCCGAGGCGCGGTCGTCAAACAACGATGGAGAACCCGAGTCCTGGCAAACCCGGGTCTTACGCTCCCCCGATACCGATACTGGTACTCCCCGGACCACTCCTGGGGTGCGTTCTGCTCAGAATTTCAAGGCGAACCCAGCGGTGGCGGCGAAGGCCTCCCAGGAGGCCCAAAAAGGCGGAAGCGGGCGAAGGGTAGAGGTATGGGTGCCCGTTCCTCCTCTGAGGGCCTCCGCGGCCCTGGCGCCAGCCGACGAAGGCAGCGAGCGCGCCCGCAGGCGCAGCCGCCCACAGGACGCCCTCCACGCCAGTCGCAGCGGCTCGCGGCGCGACATGGCCCGCGCGGCGCCGCGCCGGCGCGTCCTCCGCGGCTGGGCGCGCGCGGGGCATGGTGGCGCGCGGCGCCGGCGCGGCGGAGGGGGCGCAAGCCGGTCCGCCGGGCCTGGGGTCGGGCCGAAAAGGCGAGGATGAACGCCGCCCGTTCACACTCCGCGTCGGAACAGAGGCGCTGAGGCGGCAGCGCGACAGGCGAGCATGATGCTGTCGCATGAAGAATCGCGCGCGCTGCGAGCCGCGTGGCCTCTTCGCAACGGGAACCATGCACCAACGGGGCCGCGCAGGCCGCTCTCCTGCTTTCCTGATGCAAGGGTCTCGGGCCGGGGGTCGGACCGAGGGGCTGCGGGCCTGCTCGTCTGCATGCGCCGCAGACAGGCCTTCAAAAACCCGAGTCCCCAGGGCTGGGGGCGGCCAGGGGTAGCTGTAGATTCGCGCTTCGGGGGCCCGAGCTGGAGTGAACCCGCACAGCAGTTATCCGGGATAGTTCGGGCGTCCAACCCTCCCGAACCATCAGGGCTGGGGGAAGTCAAGGGTAACTGCATATTTGCGCCACAGGGGCCCAAGGCGAGAACATGTGAGCCCTGTCCCGCCCTGCAAGCCAGATTTCTGAACAACTGGCTTGGCTGGGATTATGGGATTCATGTGTCTGTCGCCGTGCGCAGCACCACTTCAAGGATTCTGCTCTGAAGGACTCATGGGTTGACCTACGAATTTCACGAATCAGCTATGAACGACGCCTTGTGACTAGAACTACGTGATACGCATGTAGAACTTTCAGCCTGGCGTGATGGGGTGATATCATGTTTGTCAGAACTTGTCATAACGGTGACTCCGTATTCCTAGCTTTGCATACGCATTCCGAACTCGTCATAATTTGCCGTAACTTTCCGCACGCGGATCGCACGAACCAGGGCGAGTCACGGACACGGAGGGAGGGGGGTCCGACACGGCGCCCCCCCCACCCCTCCCCGCGGGCGAGCCTTGCTAACTAGTTCTGAGATTTGCCATCCCAACTATATATACTTTAGTGACGGTCACACGGCGAGAAGGTCTGAGGCAAACCTGACCGGATCAACTCGCCCGCGGATGTCTGAGCCCAGAATGGCGAGGATATCAGAGGCGAGACGGACTGGACCTCCTCAGGTTATAAGGCATCTCTGAACCCAGAAAATCCAATCATGTCCCAGTCGAACCGGGCGTGAAATTTTGGATCCCAAAGTTGCGAGGATGTCTCAGGCGAAATGGGCCAGGCCACCTGGCCCCATGCAGCTCGGAACCCAAAGCTGCGAGGATCCCTCAACGCAGTGTAATGCAGCGCAACGGGGAGTGATTCAGCAGGAACGCAATCTCACGCGATGCAATTCAACGCCACGCAATGCAATGGCACTCCGTACAAGTGCAACGCGTATGCCACATGCAAGTACAGATGGGGATGATACAGAGGCTTCCACTGTGGGGGATGCGGGATAAAGAAAGGGAGAAAAGGATGACGATGAGGAGGAGGAGGAGGAGGAGGAGGTGGAGTTGTTTCCCAGAGCTACCCGTGCAGCTTGGCATGAACTACAACGCAGTACCCGTAGCAGAAAGCGGGACTGGCAACATGATCGAGCACATCCGGAGCGCCCGTAGCAAAACAGAAGCTCACTTAGCAAGAACACGACTCATCGGCATTGGCGTTACCACCAATTACATACACTGGCGTTACAACCAACTACATACGCATGAAGACGGAAGGTAACCAGAAGGCAGCTCAAACCTAACTGGGACAACTGGCGATCGACGTCTTGGACGGGCCTGTGGGTAACTGCATCGACCACCTACAATGTAACCAAGGGACCTATTGCCATCACGGGTTCCCGCCGTCTAGGTAACGATCAGCGTGACTAACTACAGGCAACTGCGACCCCCCCTTCTCGCATCCCCTTCTTCCTCGCGCCTCCCTCGCCCCTTATCGTCCGTCGCGACCACCATCTCAGAGCATCCTCCTCCTCCCCGCTCGACCTTCTCCAACGGGGGGGCGGAAGGCGGAGAGACAGGGAGAGGGGGCGATGGGAAGAGGCACTGAGACGGCCCGCAACGCGGGCGACAATGCAGAAGGGGCCCAACCACAAGGAAACCCAACCCTGCGACCCCAGGATGCCCATCGCTTTTGCGTGAGAACTCGCCAAACGATGGATGCCCCCAAAAAACCCAGGGCACCCTGGAGGCCAGCAAGGTGCCCCTTGCCATGGGTCCCCGCTGTCAGCCCACGCGTGCCACCAAAGATCCCGAGAGCCTCACTGCCTTCTCCTGGGGGCGCGGGCGGCCCCGCCCGCCGCAGAGGAGAGGTCGGGACGGCGCTTTCCGCTGCCCCGGCGCGCCGTCTCGGAACCGCCCGCCGAAGTGGAGGTCGGGATGGCACTTTTCGCTGCCCCGGCGCGCCGTCTCGGAGCCGCCCTCGGCGCCGCCGCGCGCGGCAACGGCGCCTCTGGGGCTCCTCCCTGGGGGCCCCGCACGCGGCGGCGGCGACTCGGCCCCCCCTTCCCCGCGGCCTACACAGCCCTGGGCGAACTTTGTCTTATTCGGCGTTTCGGCAGCGGGCGGGGGGGGGAGAAGGCGGTCTGGCTCCAGACCTCTGCTTAGCGCGAGTGTTTGCAGCGCTGCGCCCTATGGAGGAGACCCCGCCCGGCCAAAGACAGCCCAAATCCACGCCAGAGGACGGGGGGCAGTGCGAAGGCCCGCGCCGATCGGCAAAACAATGAAGGAGAAAACAAGCATGGAAACAATGTTTCGGGGCCTCTCCCCGCAGTTGCCTGGCTGCCCCAGGGCCAAGAGCTCGGTGCCAGGGTCCTTCCCCGCGGCTTCGGGCGGGCCCCCGGGGCCCGGCACGCGGCGCTTCGGAGCGCCCTGCGCGCCCCAGACGGCCCCAGGGCGGGGAGAGGGGCATCAGGAGTACCAGCGCGGCGCGCCAAGGTTCAAGTCTGGCCAGCGAGCGCGAGCGGCAGGAGCTGGCGCCGCAGCAGCTGCAGATTCGGCCGCGGCCATGCCGCGGGCAGCCGCTCTGACAGGTGGAAGAAGGCGATGGCGGCCCGCATGAGTGCGGGTAAACAGGCCCTTGTCTATCTTCGCAAGGTTCTCTTTGCCCTTGCGGGAGAGCCCAGAACGCGTGGCCGCGAGGTGGCTTGGGTCAACTGCGGCAGTCTGGCCGCGCTCGCGGCAGACAAGCAACATGTCTGCACGTAGTGGAGGCGATGCGCAGCGCGCAGCCCACGTCCGCGCGCGACGGCAGCTCCCAGCATCGGGGCCACCTGATCGCCAGGGGTCGGCACAAGCAGGCCGGCGTGGCACGGCGTCGGGGAGGCCTGGCGGACGGCTCGCTCGCCCGCGGCATGGCCGCGAACATCTGCGCCTGCCCGCGCGCAGCTCGAAAGAATGCGAAGGGCTCTGCGACGCCACCTGGAGCTCGGCGAGGCGCGCGCCCTCTGCTTGGGAAGGCTGCGCGGCGACGCGCGGGTCAACGGCCAGCGGGTCAGCGAGCGCTCTGCGCGCTCGCCGACGGATCCGCGCGCGCCGGGCGTCGTGGAAATCCGCGGAGAGGGCGCTTGGCATGCAGGCGCAGCCTCCCGCGGCCGCCGGGCGGCGGCGCCTGCCCGCGCGTCGGCGCATGCATCGCCAAGCGTTTGCAAGTAGCGGACAGGGTCTGAGACGAGGCCACGGGCGCCCTCGCTGTGAGAGGGGGCCCACGGCACGTCCATAAAGCCAAAGCTGCTGATGCGAGCAGCCTTCGCTACGCGCTGCCACGGGTCCGCGCTCGCGCCTTCTGGGCGCAAGCGTCGGCTCGACCCGCGCGCTCAGCCAAGGCATGTTATCGGTCGCGCACCGACGGCCGCTTAGCGAACTCTCGAGCGCAAGGGCGACCGCGCGCAGCTCCGCCCTCGGGGCAGTCTGGAACGGGCCCTCCAGGTCCGAGACTGCGCTGCCCCAGGGGGCCCGCTCGCCGAAAGGGATTTCCATCGCGACGACGGCGGCCCCTGCCCTGCGGGGGCCAGAGCTGCAACGACCGCCTGGGCCGTCTCCGCGCAGGGCGAAGAGGCGCGCCGAGTCATCGCGACCCCCCTGGCCCCGCCCAACCCAGCCCCGCCCAACCCAGCCCCGCCCGCCGACCCCCCCCCCCCACCACCACCCCACATGGCCGGCAAAGACAGGGCGCGCGTCGGCACGGGCAGGGGGGCCGCGGAGCCAGCGGGCAGGAGAGATCTCTGCCCCAGCATGTGCAGAGGGGAGGAGGGCGTCAGACTGCCCGTGATCCTCGTGGTCGCGGCGGTTGCAGGGGCACAGCCAGATCCTGTCCATGGGCGTCTCGGCGTCGGCTCCGCATCTTGGGCGCGTCACGTCCGCCTTGCAGCCGGCCTCGATGGGCCTCTCTCTCGGCCGCTGCGCTCCCGCCGCAGCGCGGAGGCCGGGGGCCCACTGGTCGACCTGGCCCTTCTTGGTGAACATCTGCGTCTCGCGTGCAATGGCGCGCGCGAAAGGCCCGCCGCGCTGCGGGCAGTTGCCGCGGGGGCGCTTGGAAGCATCGCCCCAGAGACCCCTCTCGATGGTCCGGCGGAACTCGCGGGCGAACTGCAACGGGTCGACCTCGCGGCGCCTCTCGCCCCAGTCGCCGCGCTCCTTGCGCGGCAGGGTCCACGCCTGCTTTGCTGGATCTCCTTAGCGAGGTTCGCAGCGCCACTCGAAAGGGGGCGGGCAGCCCCGCCAAGCGTCGACCAGGATGGCCTGCGCAGCGGAGATGGGCCCCGCAACCTTGCGCCACTTCTTGCAGCCGTAGCTGATGGTCTTCTGGTAGACCAACTTCCACGCCTGGATGATCCGCTCGTCGTGCGCGGGTTTGGCGAACCAGAAGATGAGCCACTCCTCGATGGTCTGCCTGCGGATCTCGATGCCAGGGCCCTTCGCGCCGAGGGCGGTGGCGAGCGCCGCGGTGAGGCACCTGCCTGGGGCCTTAACCTGCTATCGCCTGTAGAGCCTGTCGCCGTTGGTCGGTGACTGCGTCCGGGGCGAGACCCAGGACTCGGCGGTCGTAGGTGCACCGCGGCCTGGGGCCCGTCACCCGGAGGCCCTTCGCGATCTTGGCGAGGGAGGCGTGCTTGTGTATATTGGTGGCGATGCGGTCGGTCCTGCGCATCGCCTTCTCCGCGCGCATGTAGGCCTTCGCGGCCGCCCCCCTCCTCGCCGCTGCCGCGCCAATGCCCAGGTCGGCAGGCGAGTTGGCGACCTCGGTGGTGTAGCCCTCAGCCTCGAGGCCCGCGTGGACCGCCAACGCCGCCGCTAAGCTGGACGCGAGGGCCGTCTTGGGCGAGACCTTGAGCTTCGCCGCCGTCGTGCCCTTGCAGAGGGCGGTGCCCGCCCCCGCCAGGTCATTGGAAACCCGCTGGGGCTCGCTCTCGGCCCTGGCGACGGCGTCGCCAACAAGGCCCAGAGGCCAGCGCGCATGTAGTTGAGGTGGGCCGCGGCGAGACTGGGGCCCAACTCAACCTTCGCGAGCTTCCCGCCGCGCGCGCTGCCAGCGACGGCGGGGCGCCGCGGGTCGATGGCGTCGCCCGCCAAGCCATGCATGTGCCTGGGCGCGAGGAACAGCTGCACCTCTAGCGCCAGAACTTCCTCGCGCCCACGGGGGGCGCGGCGCGGGAAACACCGAAGGCGGCCGCCGACTCGTCGAGGGGCGCCCTCGCGAAGGCTGGGCGCAAGCAGCCAAGGCCCTTGATCGCCGCGCCCCAGAACTCGCCCAGGTCCTGCGACCGCTGGTCGGCGATCGCAGCGCACAGCTTGCTTCAAGTCTTGGCGATCGTGGGCAGCGTGCCGAGGGTGCGCTCGCCTCCAGCAGGCATCGGAGCCACGGCCCCCGCGGTGGCGCAGAAATGCTGCGGCCACAGCCCGCAACGCTCCGCGTAGTTGTAGATGTCGGCCAGCTGCTCGACGCCGTTGGGAGGGGGGCGCCGCGCGTCGAGCGGTCCGACGTTGTCGACCCCATTGCGCCTTCCTGGGGCCAGGGACGCTGACCGCCGTATATACGTGTGGTGCGGCTCGGTGTCAAAGAGGCCTACCCTGGCCGCGCGCGTCGCGCTGGCGCGCGCCCCGTGGTCTGCCGCTCGTCGCGGGCGTTGGCAGTCCGCGCCTGCCTCCAAGAGCTGGCCGCCCAGTTCATGACGGCGCAGGGGTCGCCCACGGCGCTGCCGTTGAGCTTGGCCTCGAGCTTTTGCCCGCTGGGGTCAGCTTCCCCGGGGTGCCCCTCCATGCCTCCTGCCATGAGCCAAGTCGAGGTGCCGCGTGCGACCCTGCCGACGGCCCTCGCCACGGCGCGGCCCGCCCATCGCTGCGTCGCGGCGCAGGTGCGGCGGAGGTCGCCCTCGTCGCAAAACCCGAGGGGCGCGATGTGGAGCATCCATTCGTCGACCTCGGTCGGGCCCACTTCTGTGCCGAAGTGTCCCGCGTGGAAGTTGGGGCTGTCATGCTGGTCCAGCTTGGCCGCGATGATCCTGCGTCTCTGTCGCTTGGCCTGGACGTCCTTGGCGTTCTTGGCCAGCGGGGTGTAGCGGGCGATGAGCGAGCTGGAATGCGGCCACCACGCTGCCTCTGGGTCTTTTAGGTGGGCGCGCCCGGGCGTCGACTTCATGGTCTGGTTCGCCGTCTTGTAGCCCTGGGCCCTGCCCTGGCACCCGGCCCCCTCGTCGAGGGGGGCGTCGCGCGTCTCGAGGACAGCGATCTCCTTGGTGGCCGCCCAATGCGCGTGCGCTGCGTTGACCAATGCGGCGTTGCATCGTGGAACATGTGCCTCCTGCCTTCTTTAGCGCCTGCGAGGCGAGGTGCGTCTCGAGCTCTGGGGGGCTCGCGACGGCGGCCGCTGCCTGGTTCCAGAGGTCGCTGGGGGCGACGAACGGGGCGCCGTTCGTAGCCGACCTGGGGCGCGTCGAACTCGGCGCGAAAATGGCCCGGCAGCCGTTCTCGCCTGGTTCGCAGCGCCTCCGCTCGACCCCCGGACCACCTGCCATCGGGGTCGGCTTCCTTATCAGTGCTGGCTCTCGCGGGAAGGGCCCCGGGAAACCCAATGGTTTTGTAGCGCCGCGGCCCGGCGGTGCCCGCCGCGACCTGGGCGCCGCGGCAGGTCTTCCACGGCGCGTCGTAGATTGCCTCCGCCTCGGTTTGCGCGTGGCGAAAGCCTTCCCTTGTCGCGGGCGGCCCCGCGCGCGGGGCATTCGACGATTGCGCCGCCCCATCTGGTGAGCCAGGGCTTGTCTGCCCACCGTCGCCCCCGTCGACGAGGGCGATCCACGGGTCGCTGAGCACGTCCGCGAACGCGGAGATCGACGCGAGGACGTCCCCGCTGACCCCCTCGTCGCGAAGCCCTGGCCGCGGGCGCGCAGAGACGGCCGCGGCGCTGCCGCTCGCGGCGCGCAGGATGGCAGGCGCGAAGCCCACCAATGGCTGGCGCCCGTGCGCCTCGAGGTAGAATTCCCAGCGGCCCTCGCAGGCGGTGGCCGCGACGTCGCGGCGGAGGAGAATCCACTCGCCTCCGAGGGTGCCCGTGTCCGACTTGTCCGCGGCCGGGGCTGGGGGTAGCGGAGGGCCCCCAGCCGCCCGTGGCGAGCTGACCCTGCAGCTCCAGGAGGGCTCTGGCGCCCGCGCGCGCCCCCGCCAGGGCGAGGAGGTGGCGCCGGCAGCCGACGATTCGGCTGAAGTTGGCCGCCTGCGGCCCCCGCTCGGCGGTGCTCCCGAGCGGGGTGCGCGCCTGGCGTGCGTTGCCCAGGCAACGCACCTCCTGCGGCGGCTGCTCTCTCTCCTGCAGCAGCGGGGGCTGGGTTGCCCTTGCCGCCGCCCTTGACCGACTGGGCCATCTCTCTGTACTTGGCGGCGTTCTCGATGCGGGCGGCGGCTGCGCGGCGGTCCGCCCCGGCATGTTCGGGCCCTGCTGGCCCAGCAGCAGGGTCTGCAAGATGCGCCGAGGTCTCTGAGACAGACGCGGGCGGCTGCTGGGGCTCGGGCCCTCCAGCAACTGGCTCGGGCGCAAATTGCTGCGGTTCCGCCGTTCGCTTCTTTCGCTTGGCAGGGCCGTCGGCCGACTCCGTCGCATTGCGGAAAGTCTCGCGGACGAACTCCTGACCGTCGCTGAGGGCCCTGACCCGATCGCCGACGTCCCGCTTCCATTGCTCCATCTGGGCCGCGGTGGTGTCGTCGTAGATCGAGATGTCGTCCCAGATAGAGCTGTCGGTGCAGAACTGGCTGGGGATGCGGTCAGCTCCCCCTGCACCGCCAGCGAGTTTGGCACGGCGATTGTCCTGCGCTTGTGCGCAGGCCTTCTTCGCTAGTACATGTTTGAATGCTGTTTGCTCTTGTCTCGCCACGGCGTCCTTGAGCCGCACCGGTTCGGCTCGAAGTTCTCCCCGCGGTCTTGGGGCACAGAAAAAGGCTGACTGGACCTCCTGTTCCGCAGTCCGCACTGGCGGTGCTGTCGCTGGTCCTTGGAGTGCCTCTGTGCTCTGCGATCTGGCAAACCAGCCCTCCATGCTTCTCGTCCTGGGGGGGTGTCTTGAGGGCGCCGAATATGGTGTCTCTCGATGGGGCCGCGGGCGACGGCGCCCCGCGCCACGGCGGTAGCTTCAGAAGTCCCCCCACCCAGGCGCCTGGTCTGGCGATGCTCAGCAGGCGATGGTGCGAAGGGCCTGCCGCGAGCGAAGCACTCCTGTTTTGACTCCCATGTCCATATGTAGCGGCACTGCTTACACTTGCAAACCGCATACTCGTATACGTCACCACGGGGAAAGCCGCGGTCGCCCGTTGGCTTGGGCGAGCGCGGTGCGGGACGGTCGTCGTTTGGCCGCCCGCGTCTACCACCGGGAGCCACGTCGCCACTCTGCCACTGCACCTGGCCTCGAAGTCTTCCATACGGACGGGGGTAACTCGCCGCAGAGGGTAGCCGCAAACGCGGAGATGGGCGGCGGTTCGCCCCTGTTTGTGGCCGCGGACACGGAAATGGGCGACAATTCGCCTCTGTTTGTAGCTGCAAAAACGAGGGTCGAAAACATTGGGGGCCTACCCCAGACAGGCAGTGATATGGAAACAAGGTTGGCCTTGAGCCAAACATGACATGGCTACGGAGGGGGAGTGCGATAGGACGGGGAAAGGGGAAGAAGCGAAGTTTTTTTTAGTCGCCAAATTCCCGGTTCCCGGTTCCCGGTTCCCGGTTCCGGGTTTTCGGGTTCCCGGTTCCCGGGTTCCCGGTTCCCGGTTCCCGTTTCCCGGTTCCCGGTTCCGGGTTTTCGGGTTTTCGGGTTCCCGGTTCCCGGGTTCCCGGTTCCCGGTTCCCGGTTCCGGGTTTTCGGGCCCCCGTTCCCGGGCCCCGGTTCCCACCTCCCTAGGAGACAAGGCATCGTAACCAAATCGCGCGCCCAACGTATTGTAATGTATAATGGTTTGTTGCGTGCACGCGCGTAACCAAATCGGCTTCTTGTTGAGCCAAGTTCGTATGAGAGGGGTGCATTGTTTTGATTTGGATGCGCGCCATTTGATTACGAAGTGTGATTTGGTTATGATTTGGTTATGAAAGTATGACATTGGGTTACGTTTTCAAATTTGGTTACGATTTGGTTACGTTTCCATATGGTTACGATTTGGTGACGATTTGGTTAAGCGGGGTCCGCCGTGGGAACGGATGATCTGGCCAAGCGCTGACTGGGAGGGATTCTGTCGTCTTCTAAAGGACTCCCCTTCCGCGGGACCCCTACAGGCGACTGCGCCGCCCCCCTGCAGGGACGTTGCAAAGACCATGCAAAGCCCCCCTGCGCAGACCATGCAAAAACCTTATAAAGACATTGCAAAAACCCTGCAATACCCTGCAAAACCCCCTGCAAAGACCGTGCAATACCCCAGGAGGCCCCAAGAGGCTTCCAGGAAGCCCCAAGATACCCCCAAGAGGCCCCCCCCAAGAGGCCAAAATGAAGCCCGTGAAGAGGCCCCCAGACGGCCCCCAAGAGGCCTGCAAACTGCATCCAACAGGGCCCCGAGAGGCCCCCCACGATATCCCAGCGAACATCCAAGAGGCCTATAACCTACAACCCAGGCGCGGTGGCGGGACTTGCCGCAGCCAGCTGGATAGTTAGTGTTGCGAAGAGCCAAGCCTGATGCAGCTGCATGTGACGTGGAGCATCGCATTTTCTTTTTACGATGGGAGCCGCAGGGCAGTCAGGATCGGGAGAGGCGGGCATGAGGGCGCCGAACTCCCTGTGGGGCAACGTACTTGTGAGGAAAGTGCTGAAATCGACGGGGGCACATGTGGTCACGCCCGACAAGGCAAGTGGAGCTGCCTGAGGAAACGATCCACGTAAGGGGTGTGCTGAAATGGGGGCGGCAGCGCCGTGCGAGCACCTCCATTCAAGCCATTGGTGGAATTCCCTGAGGGGCACGCTCCGCGTGAAGTGTGTGCCGACATGGCCAGGGACGCCATGCCAGCACAACCAGTGGGCTAGGTGAGGGTTCCCATGTGGCACGCCTCGCGCGAGGGTTGTGCCGCAATTGGCGGGGAAAGCGCATGCGCGGAATAACTCCCAGTGGAATGCCCAAGCCCTACGGGGCAGATTTGGTAGCGGCGTCGCCATGCGGACGCACTGGTTAGGGCCATAGGCTATAGGTGGAGACCCACGAAAGGCACGAGCCTCATGGAAAATGTGCCGACACGAGGGCGGCGGCGCCATCCGGACACACCCGCTGAGGCCATAGCTGGAGTTCCCTATGAGGCACGATCCTATGAAGAGTATGCTGAAATAGGGAACGGACGCACCTGTTGGTGCCACGGGTAGAATTCCCTATGAGGCGCGATCCTCGAGAGGGGAGTGCCGACACGGGGGCGGCTCCATGCGGACGCACCCGCTGGGGGCATAGGTCGAGCTCCAAACTGTCCGTGGTCATTGTGAGGTGTAAGCTGAAATGGGGGCGACGGCACCATGCGGAAGCACCCAGCAGGGCCACAGGATGAGCTTTTATGGGGCGCGACTCTTGCAAATCATGTGCCAGCACGGGGGCGGCGGCGCCTTGTGGACGCACCTGCTTGGGCCATGAGTGGAGCCCCCTATGGGGCGTGATCCTCGTAACAAGTATCTAGAGTGACGACGGCGCCATGCGGACGCACCCACTGGGGACATGGGTCCAGCTCACTACCTTGCACGATCCTCGTGAGGGATGCGCAGCACTTGGCGGCGTGATACGTGCGAGGAAGAAGAAAGAGGATGAGGAGGATAAGGAGATGAGGATAATGAGGAATCACAATGAAAAGGAGGAGGAGGAGGGCGAGGAGGCGGAGGAGGAACGGGGAAAAAAAGGAGGAGGAAGATGAGAGGGAGAGGAGGACGAGGAGGAGGAGGAGGAGGAGGAGGTGGAGGAGGCGGAGGAGAAGGAGGAGGAGGAAACATGCGAGATACTGAGTGAGTGAGACGCGCGGCGGTGCGGACAGAGAGCGATAATTCAAGACACAATAATTTTGGAAAACAATTTACGTTACGGCCCTTGCTCCTTCGAGTCGCAAAGCAACGGCTGTTTTGCGTGAAGGCGTGCTGCTGCCGTTCGCTGGCTCGAGACATCGCCGCCTGCTCAGTTCCTTTGAAGATTTGGCCGCATGGCCTCTAGCTTTTCTCTGTGGAGGCGGAAACCACTTCTGGGTTGAGGCATTTATGATTTGGCACTGATTTGCTTAAGATTTGGTTATGATTCGGTTACGATTTGTGCAATTTGATTATGAGTTGGTTATGAAAATTGAAAATATGGTTACGATTTGGTTATGCGAGCATATTCCCGGAAAAATTTTGGTGACGGAGGTGCTGAATGCATTTTGATGGTTCAACTGTGTGAGGGGTCGATCGTAACCGAATTCTTCGCGTTTTGGTTACGCGCAACAGTTTCGAGCGTAACCATATGATTTGGTTAAGTACACGAGGCTCCTGGTTCCCGGATCCCGGGTCCCGGATCCCAGTTCCCGGTTCCCGGTTCCCGCTTCCCGGCTCCCGGGTCCCAGGTCCCGGGCTCCGGGCTCCCACTTTGGTGATGGCGTTGACATATGAGATCTATGTCAGATGAAGTCACTTATAAGTTACTTCAATTATATATGAAGTTGTTTGTAAGTAACTTGAAATCACTTGTAGTGAGATATGTTAAGATCCTGCAACTACCCTCCACAGTTAACTTAATTCATTAACATATATACTTAAATCACATGTAGAACAGATGTTACTTGTGTGCACCCAGTTGCCATACTTATAAGTTACTTATAGTTATACTTATAAATAAGATATGTTTAAGTCCGATAAATATGTTTGTTTCGTCTGCTTTTTGAAAAAGGGGGTCGGAAACCAAAAAACGCGCAGGTTTTTTTCAGCACAGTGTTTCGCCAGGCGCCAGGCGACCGAAAAGGCCGTTCATCACCGAGCTCAACCCGCGCAGCCTGGGGGGTAGGAAAGAGGGGGCGGGAATGGCGGGGGGGGAATCGGGAGGGGATGCCATGCGCATTGGCGGCACACCGCCCGCACTTCTCATCGCGGCGCGTTCTGATGTGATTCGCTTCGGCGGCCCACCGCCCACGTCTTGCAAATTCTAAGCAGTTTTATCGCATTGGCGGCGCACCGCCCATCGCGGCGTTTTGCCCGCGTATTGCAATTTGTACGTTTTGCACATGTTGATTGAAGTTTCGTCGCGTTGGCGGTGCGCCGCCCACGTTCCCTTGATTGCGCGAGGCGTTTCTTCACGCATCGGCGGAGCACCGCCCGCGCAGCACGTTTCATCAGAATTCGTCATCGAATTTGGCGGTGCACCGCCCACGTTCCCGTGATTGCGCGATGCGTTTCTTTCGCGT